TTTTTTTTTTTGTGGTAGTTTTAGACTTAATAACAGAATCCTCCCCTGAAAAGTTCTGTTTATTTGCAAACTGTCCCCACAATTTGTTTTAAACTGACAGTTTGGGAAGATGGTTGGGTTCTTTTTTAAATTATGCCAAACCTTTGGGGTGTTTTTATAATTGCCCTGTTTTTAACTTTACTTACAGAGGCAGTTCCTAAGAAAATTGTTGAAGTTATGGGAATATCAGGGCTCACTAGAGAGAATGTTGCCAGCCATTTGCAGGTAACTAATTAATTCTTGTCAAGTTAAAATTTCTTCAATAATCAGCATGCAAAGTCAATAATATTTATTTATTTATTTATTTATTTTGCAATAAATTAAAAAATATATATGATGAAACCCACATGAAAAAAATCATTTTTTTCCATGAATCTTTATGTTTTAATTCTGCAAGATATACACCATCAGGAGCAATTAATAAAAATCTCAATATTGTACCAAAAAAAAAAAAAATAATAATAAAAATCTCAATATCTTTACAATAATGAGCATATTTATTGATATATTAATTATAACTTCATACATATGCATGCTTTTGTTTGCTTCTAAATGTACAAAGATCTTCTTCTGCATATTATTATCTTAATAAATATTATGCATTATCACTAATTGAATTGCAACACAATGAATAAAAAAAAAAAAGTAACATTTTATTTGTTTTCCTTCTTAAAAATCCTTGTGTGCAGAAGTATCGTGGCAGCTCAAAGAGAACTCAAGAAATCGAACAATACATAAGCGCAGCAAAATCGTACGATTACAATAACCGGTTAATCAAGAGTGCGAATTTCGTTGGATACAGATTGACGGACAATGGAAGCTCGATTAAGTTTGGAAATCTTGAAGACGAAAATGAAGACAAATGGCTTTCTTTGCTTGGTCATCATCAAGATACTTCTACTCAATCGACGACAGTAAAAATGGGAAATGATTTTCCGGTCCGAAATTCGGAGGAATTCTCACAAATGGCGGCTCAAACTTTCGATAATTATTTTCTTGATGAGGCCATGATGAAAGGAGAAGGAGATCAATGTTGGCAATTGGATTGGGAAGAATTTTGTGATGCCCTCTTTGAGCATGATGATTAATTAGTCTTTACATTTGAAAAGCTTTTGTTGTGTATATAGATAGGTAAGAGTATAAGATTGAGTTGCTTTTATAACTCAAAATGATGTTTAATCATGTAATTATCTAACCAATCTATACTCATTCATTGTATTTATGTTTGTCACAACAATAAAAGTTGATATTTTCTTATGAGGAAAAATATACTTATTACAAACAAAAACAGCTAAATGAATTGCACCGGTTTGATCGTCCTCCGCATGGAGCGGGTTTATGATTAACTCATGATGTAGCGGGGGTGTCTCATCCTCGTCAAGTCGTGATCAAGCGATTGAGTTGCTTTTAGAACTCAAAATGATGTTTAATCATGTAATTATCTAACCAATCTATACTCATTTCATTGTATTTATGTTTTTCACAACAATAAAAGTTGATATTTTCTTATAAGGAAAAATATAATTATTACAAACAAAGATTGAGTTGCTTTTAGAACTCAAAATGATGTTTAATCATGTAATTATCTAACCAATCTATACTCATTTCATTGTATTTATGTTTTTCACAACAATAAAAGTTGATATTTTCTTATAAGGAAAAATATAATTATTACAAACAAAAACAGCTAAATGGATTGCACCGGTTTGATCGTCTTTCGAATGGAGCGGGTTTTATGGTTAACTCATGATGTAGTGGGGGTGTCTCATCCTCATCAAGTCGTAATCAAGCGATAGTAGTTTCGCTTCCTTTCTTGTACAAAAAAAAAAAAAAAAAAAAAAAAAAAAAACAGCTAAATGGAAAAATATAAATTGCAATATCAATTTATTGATTATATTTAATAAATAAATTGTAAAAATATACACTTCCACCTGTCGGGGCTTGTGAGCCATATCGACCACAATGAATATCCTCCTCCATCCCTCCTCGCCGGCGATTATTTTTCCACCGCCGGCGCACGATAGCCTCGCCGCCGTCCCCACCGTCAAGCTTCGTCGAAACTCACCGCTGCGTATTGTAGCTAGCTTAACCTCCAAAAGCAAACCTAAAAAGCAAACAGATGATTATCACTCCACTCTTAAAGCCCTAAACTCCAGAGGCCGCTTTCCAAGAAAATCACTTGGCCAGGTAATTTTTTTTTTATCCATAATATCCATAAAAATGGGTTCTTTTGAAATTTGATTAATCTGGGCTTCTCTATTTTTTCTGTTCTTGATTTTGTTTTTCCTTGTCCAATTTAGCACTACATGTTGAATGACTCGGTGAATGAGGAGCTAGTGGCTTCAGGCAGTGTTAAAGAAGGTGATATAGTGCTTGAAATTGGGCCGGGGACTGGTTCTTTGACTAATGTACTTGTCAGTGCCGGTGCATATGTTCTTGCTGTTGAAAAGGTCCGAGCTTTTTCGGCCCTTGTCTTAAATTTTAGATTAATCTGTTTGTAGAAGTTATTATTTGCACAAAGTTTCTCCATTGCTTGAGATTTAGATGTCACGGTTATGGCGAGTCTGCGTTTTTGCTCTCGACCTGTATGAAATCGGTGTTGTTATATGGATGATTTGTAACTAACCCAATTCTCTTGATAAAAGCTTTAATCTTTACGCGAAAAGATATTGAAAACATTCTTTATGCGTATTTTGTTTGTGTGCAATTTATTGTTGCTCCACTTTATGTTGATTGCTGACCAAGTGCTCGGATTGTTCTTTTGTTTTCTATTGTGATTTTATTTTGCTGTATGCTTTTCTTATTAGGATCCACACATGGCAGCTCTGGTAAGGGAACGTTTTGCTGGATTAGAATGTGTTAAGGTAATGAATTATGTGGTTAAAAGTTGAAACCATTGGCACATGATTTGGTTGCATTTCAATCTATCCAGTTTTTTCTCATTGCGAACTATAATAACCAAAATCTATGCTCGAAAAAGTGACTACTGTTACTTCTTTTCTGGTAGGTACGTATTTCCAAAATATCGTGCTTTTAGATCTATCTAATCCGGTAAAACTATATATTTCTTTTCATTTTCTTTATTTTTTCGGTTATGGAACAATTTGTCTTATAGATATGTTTAGGCAATTGTTATACACTCCAAATTAAGAATTCATGAGAAGAAGAAGAAATAAGGTTTATTGGCAGAGAACTATTTTGATCTATTCTAACATGTAGGTTCTGGAAGAGGATTTTACGAGATGTCATATACGTTCCCATATGTCGTCATTACTCCAAAATAGGAGCCCCACGGATGCAAAGGTTAGGGATAAATACTGTTTGACTAAAGTTAATAAGCATTTTGTTAAGCTGATAATTTATAAAAACATTGAGTTCTTTTTTTTTTTTTTTTTCTTTCTGTGTGTGTTGTTTTTCTTTCAGGTGGTGGCTAATATACCTTTCAACATAAGTACTGATGTGGTGAAACAACTTCTTCCTATGGGTGACATTTTCTCTGAAGTGATCCTTTTACTTCAGGTATGCAATTAAATAATAACCCGTCAATTCAGTTTCAACCGAAAAAAAATAAAAAATAAAATCGTGTTTATTC